AAGTAGAAATTTCAGACTCAGTTATTTATTCTCAATAATCCCGAGTAAACCATCACCAAACTGGTTTACATCTCTGGAATCGTCCATTTCTAAATTGCTTTGAAAGATAAACCTGTTATTATCTTAAAAATGCTTCAAAGGACCAAGGATGAAGATCCTGAACGGGTCCGGGACAGGCTTGCGGACTAGGTGCTCTGGGTGGGCCTGGGAGTTTGGGTTCTGGGTCATGGCTGGGGTGTCACCAGGGTTGTGGGTTGGTGCATGCAGGCCTCCGTGCACGGGGGTTTGGCCCTGGCAGACTTCAGCAAAGAATGGGGGCCTCTTTAGCTAACGGGTAGGTTGGGACCATCTTTTGCAGGTGGTCTCTGCTCTTTGGGAGTCCACTCTGTGGGTGGGGGGGTCTAGCAGAGGTGGAGGATGGGTGAACCTAGGTGTCCATTGACTGAATGTTGGGGTGGGTGTAGTTTTTTCCCTGTAGTGGAGTCGGGTGGGCCACCCCGAGCTCTCTGGGGCTCAGTGGTGCTACTGCCCCAGTGTGGATGGGCCTGGGCCCCCCTGCCCTTGGTGGATTTGGGGAATGGGGGTGCCCATGGGGGTCAGCGGGGGAGCTGGCTTCAGGTAGGAGGTATATTCCTCCTCTGTCCCCTCCTGGCTGCCTGAGCCTCAAATTTATTCCACAACACAGACCCTCGCATTACGTACACGGTCATGAGTGTGGGTGAGTACACTGAACTGTGTCCAGAGGATGGTCTGCTTATTCAGCCTCACCTCTCGTGCCAGTGCCCACTTCTCAATTTTAAATCGCACTTAGACACTGAGGGTTCTTGGGAGGGAGCTGTCCCCACAGAGTTGGTGCCATGCCCCTCTGCCGTTTTAAATCAACTTTAAAACAGCATGCATCAACATCACAAATGAGTCGGCGGAGTGAGGCATCAGGTCTTCTCACACCCCTGTTCCCTGTTCTCCATCTGGGGCAGCGGACAAGGAGGAATAGCTGGCCGTCTGGTCAAGCTGGTGGGCTTCCCTGCTGCTGCGGGACCGGGACGGTTTGCTTGTCTCCACCCCAGGGTACAGGGAACCATGGTGGACATGGTGAAGGGAGCCACCAGGTGGAAGAAGGAGTCCTATTGGGCTTTTTAGCCTGTGGGACTTTGGAGGCAGCTGATAGGTACCGACAGGCCAAGGGGAACGCAACTTGGGCAGGGGGTGAAGCAAAAACTCGGGTGCGGGGAGAGTTTGGAGAGGCCATGGAAAAAGACTTTCGGATTGCCTTGAAGAGATTCTGGCAAACCGTCAGACGACTCAGGAGAGGAGAGCAGTGCTCTACCTGCACTGTGTGTAGTGCGGCTGCTGACTTTGACTGAGAACATTGTCAGGCGGTGGAAGGAATACTTGGAGGACCTCCTTAATCCCACTGTCTTCCATGACGAAAGCAAAGTCTGGGGACGAGGGGGACGGCTCGTCTATCCCCGGGGGCGAGGTCACTGAGGCAGTTAAGGAACTGCTTGGTGGTAGCCCCCTGGGGTGGAAGAGGTTTACCCAGAGTTCCTGAAGGCTCTGGATGTTGTAGGGCTGTGTGGTTGACACGCCTCTACAATGTTGTTTGATCAGTGGTGGTACCTCTAGATTGGCAGACCGGGGGGGTGGTTTCCATCTTTAATAAGGGGGACTGGAGGGTGTGTTCCAACTATAGGGGGCTCACACTCCTCAGCCTCCCTGGAAATGCCAGGGTGCTGGGAAGGAGAGTCCATCCGTTAGTCGAACCTTGAATACAAGAGGAACAATGCGTTTTTTGTCCTTGCCGTGGAGCACTGGACCAGCTCTTCACCCTCTCGTGGATACTTGAGGGTGCGTGGGAATTTGCCCAACCAGTCTACATGTGTTTTATGGCCCTGGAA